GCTGCGGCGCGGGCGGGCGACTCCGGGGCGCCGGTGAATGCCGGCCGGCGGCCGCCTCGGGCGCCCCGACGGAGCCGAGGTCAGGTCGCCGGTCGAGGCGGCGGGCAGTCGGTCCATGCCCCTCACCAAGAGGGTTGGACGCGCTGTCTCCTTTAGGTGTGGGCTGGCACTGACTCAGCGGCGGAATTATCCCAGATCCTTCCCTCCTCTAAGTATGAGCGTTGGCTGGCTGGCCCGCCTTACTCTCCTATAATCCTTTGCCCTCCCCAATAGTCCCTCAGACTCGGGTTGTGTACTAAGGGGAATAAGAGGGCTCGCATTTACATGTTAACCCTCGCATGTGTAGGGGGGTCGAATGGACCCCCCCATGGTTTTTCGCAAATAACTCGCGTAAAAAGCAGCCGATCGCGACGAAACTTTCAGTACCCTCGCATTGATCAACTTTACACCTACCCTGAAAATTTCATGACCCTGACTCAAATGACCTTTGACCTGTGACCCCTTTTCCGAGACCATGTTTGGCCGGAATCGCGATTCGGCATACGTCGGCTCGCATTAGCAGCGCGTTTGCAAGCTTTTCGTGGTTTCAAACGTTCAAACATGTGATGTGATGTTGCTCCCATGCATTAGGGTGGGTTTCAAGGTCACCTGAAGGTCAGGTCAGGTCATTGACCTTTGGTGACCTCGGGTGACCTCGGTTCAATTTTCGAGTTTTACATGTTTCTAGGCTAGTTTTTGGAGCTGAATTCGAATTTAGCAACCATTTGAACATTTACGAAGTAGTTTTGGTGCCTTCGTAACATGTTACGAAGCTGTCAGAGGCGGTTGACACGTACTACGAATACCCGTCACGACGCCTACTGGTTGACCTGACCTGACCCGACCTGGTCTAAATGCTTAAAGACATCATCTGTGATCAAAACTAACACGATATTCGTGATCAGCACCCCGAAAAACCCCTTAGCTGCCACACTTTACGACTTTCTAATAGGTCCCGATTTTCCCGACTTTGGGTCATTGACCTGACCTGGAAGGTCAACCAATGACCTAGGACCTTAAAATTGGGTATCATCGGCTTCCTCTCGTCACGGGCAACACGCTCGTTTTTTCCGCGAAGCTCTAGCTCGATCAGGGGCCAAACGGCAAGGGGGGGGGTCCAACCGACTCCCCCCCCTATACATTAGAAGCTGGAAAACGCCGCACACATGCGAGGGTTAAGTCACTGGTTTAATTTGTGGTGTACGGATTCCCAATACATCGGAGGCGAGAGGATATTACCTATCATTTGTTTAAGTTTGAAAAGGACAAATTGGGTTGGACGAAAGTTCCCCATGTGAAGAATCTTTTTTTTTATTTCGGCGTTTCAAATACAGTCCACATCTAGTTTAGCCAGAAAACGCAACAGACATAAATGCACCAATAAGGCGATGATGACCGCGACCTTTCACTTTGCTCTCTATTTGTTTTTGTGCTGTTTTTTTATGTGTGTTAAAGTGTTTCTGGGGTGAGTTGTTCTGACGCAATAAGCAAAGTAGGCAGAGAGCGTTGGGGTAAAAACAGTTTCAAACACTTGTCACGCCGTTAATGCAGTTGCCAGCGCATCGTTACTCGGCATGCTACCGTCATTCTCACCCGGCACTGCGAATGGTAGGTAAGTGCTAAGTGTGCAATACTTTGAGATGTGTGCAATACATCGAGCTGTTATTGTATTTAAATATTTTCCATGCGCTGTAACACTAATTGAATATGTTGTTTTGTGTTCTTTCTTGGTCAACTTCGCCTTATAAGATTTATTGCTGGACGTCTGATATTGTTCTTGATTATTGCTGATTGTAAGGGTACCGTGCCAGATAATCACTTGGAACTGCCAGGTTCTTGTCAAGTAAACTAATGATGCTATTTTTGTATTTATTAGCTACCTGCCTGATTCTCCGAGAATACTATAAAAAGACAACTTTGCATGGTTTTGTTAGTCATAATTTTTCACGTCAGCTCTTAGTGACTAAGTATCTCGGTCAAACATTCAATTCATATTTCTGCAGTCACCACGTTGATGAATGTTGACATCGTCATTGTCCACCTCCCGTTTGTGGCTCATCAGGTGTGCCACATCCGACTGAAGGCGTCGACATGAACAGTGGCGGCGGAAGGTATTCTAGGATAGGGGTGCAAACGATATTGAAGCGCCCCTTCCCGCTGGGCGCCCCTTACCATTGCCGGGCGCCCCAGGAGAATGAATGTTACACATCAACACCAATATGCCTCCCAGTGAAATGAATTATGAATGTCGCCTTTCGACGCCGGTAGACGCCCCAGACACCAGTGGATTTACTGCCGCCTTAAAAGGGACCCTCCCACCTTCAAAAAAGTTTTTGAATTGGCATGAAAGTGATGTCGCTCGGTTCAGAAAGAGCGAAAACGAATATCTACCAAATTTCACCGAAAAATATTCACCGGTTTTCAAGATATTAGACTTTTACTTTTGTTTACTTTTTTGGGATCTCCGCTGTTTCTAGCGACTTTATTTTAGAAGTGCGGCGTTTGCGGCAGATGTTGTGCGCAAATAGCATATACCACCGCGTGCTACAAAACGTTTTAGTCAAACATTTAAAAATCTTAAGATATTTGCGCTGACGTCACACATTCAGAGGGGTATTCCTAAGCATTAGCCCCTCTGAATCAAAATGCTGCAATTTTGAAATTCAATATTTCCGATTTAAGGCATTTCTCGATGTTGTGAGTGCCGAAACCGGTAATTGTGAGCCAGGGACCCCATTTTGGCTATCTCAACTCAAATCTAATGTTAAGGTGGGAGGGTCCCTTTAACCCTCGCCCGTAAACGGTGTTTTGCCACCTTCGCCCATGCAGGGGCGACCCCCCCTGGCGTTTGAAAACGGAGCGTCGTAGAGCTTAGCGGAAAAGACCAACGGATTGCTCTCAACGAGATCTCGCGATTGGTGGTATATTTTTTGGTCCTAGGTCAACATTTGACCTACTTATGACCGGTCACAGGTCAAATTTTCGGAAAAATCTAACTTTTTCAGATTTCCGCGCCGATTGCGGCAAAACGGTAAGAGATATCGACTTAAAACCTTCACTATCGTGATCCTTGATCAATTCTCTATCTTTTGGTGTATATTTCGATGTCATAACTCTAAAAATGATGCGTTGGGAGCATCGGAAGTCGCAAGGTCATTTGTGCATTGGGTCACGTCAGGCGTGTGACGTCACTGACCTGACCCTGACCCAAAATGAACTACAAGGAACAATCGACGATGCCTGAAATGGATAGCAAATTCGAATTCAGGGCATCAAAATACCCCGAAAAGGCATACAAGTGCAAGAAGTCATTACAGGTCAACCGAGGTCACTGACCTTACCTTGACCTTTAGTAACCTTCAAAATGTCAACGGACATTGTGCCAATGTCAAATCAGCCAGTTGTGATTCTAAAACAATCCATCAGTGTGTCAGGTCAATCGGCATTTATACCAATGTGAAGCAATCTCCAATTTAGCGTAAATCTGGCCGGAGGTTGTTCCCTTTATGACGTCATAACTCCGTGACCTGACATGACCTTGACAAAAAAATACCAAAAGTTGCGCAAAGGATGCCCCAAAGGGTACTGAAAATTTGAGCAAGCTATCTGAAACGGTTCGGCGTGTAGCTAAGAAAAACCTCAGGGGGGGGGGTTACACCAACCCCCCCCCCCCTACATGGGCGAGGGTTAAAACAACGATAGGCACCTCAGTGAAGCGAATGCCGGCCTATACCACCGATAAGCGCCCCGGATGAATAAATACCACCCGTCAACGCCGATAGGCGCCTCAGTGAAATTAATGCCGCCCCAATCTCCGATAGGCGCCCCAGGTGATACATGTCGCCCATCAACACCAACGGGCGCCCCATTGAAATGAATACCGCCCTTCAACACTGGCAGACGCCCCAGTGGAATGAATGCCGCCCCACAATGCCGATGGCCGTCCCTGCACTGGAAAATCAGTTTCGCCCCTATACAGGCGCCCATAGAAGTTTGCAGAGTGCTATTCCTGGTCATAATCATCTCCCCAGTAAAAAAAAAAAAAAAAACGCAAAATACGCCCTAGCACTAGGGGTGTAACCGCCCATACGGACAGTGCAATTTTACAGGCCCCAATCTCGGACCTCCCTTAACATTCATATGTTGTAAACGGCAAACCGCCCCCAATAAATGTTACACAAACTAATTTCCTCTCGCATATCGGCCATCAGGCCGATTCTGCCTTTTTGTCGCATGGAGCCTGCAGCGCTATAAGCTCTCATATGTTCGTGTTGGCGTTCGGAGGCTATCGCCTTCAAAGACGTCTCCATAAATGTTTCTTTTTCGTCCCACACACAGGCGCCCCTCTTTCGCATGCTGGCGCCCCTCTTCCGCATGGCGCGCTTCTTGAGTGGCTGCGCCCTCCTAGCCTTTATCGCCTGGCAAGATTATATTCGACAGGGTCGGCAGCATCTGCCTTTGTTTCAGATAAGGATGCCCTCCACTCTTCAGCATATCAAAAGATACTTTTCCCACGTCATTGCCACCCTCTTCGTGTCACAGGTGCCTTTATCAGTTGCGGTGTCGCACTGCTCAGCTTTATGGCTGCCGCACCTCTTAACTTCCTGCCTTCTCTACAGATTTTCGAGGCGCCCCTTTCCATAGCTTTAGGGTGCAGCTGCCCCCCTTGCCCCCCTGCTTCCGCCGCCACTGGACATGAAACGCTCAATGGCCCTCTCAGTCCCGGGGGTCCTGGCTGCACTACTATGGGCTCTCTGTGGTCAGTGGAAGGTGGAAGCTGACAGGAACTCTGCTCTTCAACTGGACAGGCTGAGGACGGTCTCTTTCCCTCAGCTGTTGGAGATGGGGATGGTCTCTGCTCCCCACCCAAGCCACCCAAGTCATTGCTCGCCCTGCTGCCCGGCCGTCGCTCAGTCAGCCGCGGTAGAGCGCTACCTTTTACACAAAGTCCGTCACTGGGAGATAGACCAGGTCACATTTCGAAGTCGCCAGGAGCTGGCCGATAGCTTCATGGACGTCACACTTCGCCAGCTACGTGACCTGTCACCTCTTTTAGTCAATACGTCCGTGCTGAGGCTGGGAAGCGCCTATGAGGGGACCTACATTAGCCAGTTAGCCGACTTCGACGCCTTCCTGGAACTGAACGACTCACTGCTGGAGGTGTTCCAGTTGGAGCGTCACGAGGACGGCCACGTAGCGGCTCATCTGCTCCCGAACGTGTCACAGGGGATGCTGTCTGAAGAGCTCCAGCAGCTCCTCACTGAAGATGGCTACCTGGATGCGCGCCGCGTCAAACGCTGGACGCTGGACGGTCTGGCGCGGGCTGTGGAGCGCGCAGCTGCAGAGTTCCCAGAGCTGACGGTAGCTGTGACAGAGCGACAGAACGTGGTGGGCGTACGGCTGCGTTCGGAGGACGCGGTGGTCAGGGTGGATTTCTCAGCAATGATACGCACTCCGCTCGGTTGGCGCGCGCTGCGCCCGGCGGCACTCCGACCGTGTGGTGTAGAGCTGCGTCCTCGGGACCGGCCAGCACGCTGGCACCTGTTCAGCCGACAGGACCTGAAGTCACCTCCTCCGTCCGACAGCTCGGCGCGCTTGTTCGCGCCCGACCCGCTGACGGTGGAGCAGGAGGTGCTGCAGCGCCTGCCGCTCGTCCGGCGGGCCACCCGACTGCTGAAGATGGTCGCCGCCGCTCGTCGCTGGGACATCAGGTTCTCGCTCCAGTCAGTCGTCCTCAAACGGGCGGCTCTGAAGGCATTTGATGCCCTCTGTGATCAGGTTGGTTACGTGAACTGCCGCTAGCGACATTTCACACAGCGCTAGCGGCTAGCTGAACAGGACACAACAAAATGGTTAAGGTCAGCATGCATATTACTTAGCGTTTCATTGAGCTCATAATTTGTTCATTAGCACGCGGTATTTCAGCATGACTAAGAACCACGGGCCTCTCAAATAGCATGTGTCCTCTTTAGGAACATGTGCGCATTCTTGCGTGTGACCTGAATACCATCAACGGCTCTCTAAACTTGCATCGTTGAGCGACCAAAATGATAATGTCTTCTCCCGCTGAAAAAAAAAACGCATGTCTTACGGACAGTTACTCCCGTATTAGGTAAAAAATATAAGAAACCTCAAAAGTTATTAAATATAATATTTGCCTATTTGCCCACCAATAGCATTTGGAACATCATTCCTCAGTAGCAGCTTCTGCAAAGCTGTGGCAACACCATCACTTAACTGGTTACGAGCGAGCGAGCGCAGCGAGCGAAGTGAGTCTTTTCAATATAACGGAAAAATCTCAGTATGAGCGGCCCGGTCCGGCCTGTAACGCTTTTGAGAGGCTTATATCTCAGCAAACGCTGGACCGATTGGCCTGCGGTCTTTTTTGTTGGGTAGCCCCATCCCTTCTACCCCGTAATTGACTACTTTTGATACATCTCAGTGACCGTCGTGGCACGTGCCACGTGAAAAGTCAAGGGTGTTCAAGCTGTTTTGCAAAAGTAGCGATTTTGAGAGGCTCATATCTCAGCAGCCGCTTGGGCAATCGACTTGCGGTAATTTTTGTAGGGTAGCAGCATCCCTTCTACCAAAAGTAGGATAGGTACTCTCGATGCACGTGGGTCACCCCCAGTGCACGTGCAAAATACAACAATAAGAGGTGCCAAATTTGTTCCCATTTCAGTAACTCGGTAATTACTAGGGCGATTTCGCTGAAACTTGGCATACAGGTAGGCATCCACCAGGCAATGCATTCCCATGTGTTGCGGTTAGGGTGCTACTGCACGTGCGCACGTGCAGGGGGCGTTTCCAGATCTCGAGAACGGCTGGGCCGATTGCGCTCAAATTTGGTACACGGCTGGGGACCAGTTAGTAGGGTGCCGTGCAAAAGTCACTTTGGACCCCGTTTGCACGTGCGCACGTGCAGAATGCCGCTTCCAGATCTCAGGAACGGCTGGGCCGATTGCGTTCAAATTTGGCACACCGCTAGCGACCAGTTAGAAGGGTGCTTTGCGCAAGCCCGTTGGAAGCACCCTCTCGCCCTTCCGCACGTGCAGGGCTCACTATCTCGCTCGCTCGTTCTTCGCCCAAAAGGCGTTTTACTGGTATATCCATTGGACATTGGACAACATACCTATTTCTCCTAGTTGAGTGAGACTCTCAGCCCCGTACAGATGGGATTACGACTTCGTTTCAATCGTATATTTTGTCAATCCCGACCGATGTTTCTGTGTCCGCAGCGTCGGCCCGCACCGACTCTGCTGTCCCTCGTCGTCTCGTCGCTGGAGATCCTCCAGCGATCCGTCCAGCGAGGGATGTTCAGCTGCTTCTGGATCGAAACTCCACTCAACAGACTTCTGGAAGGCCTCGCCGAAGATCAATCGAAGAAACAGCAGCTAGCAGCGGAGCTCAATGAATTGGCTCAGATATTCTCTGCTGCCAGGGTCGAAGATATTCGATTGCTGTTTCAGATGACATGTCAAAATAGTCCCTTTAGGAACCATAAAAGCACTTTTGACTAATTATTTGGTGTGTAATTGATTGTTTATGCTGATTTATACCCGTACAGCTGTATATGTGCGCTTTTGTGCTTTTTTAACCTTTGAGCGATATCAACTGTTAGTGATCATTTCTACACAGGTATGCTAAAAAATGATGTTTATTTTCGTCTTTCCCATAAACCAAGAATCACTGGACACTGACGGTCATCGAAATGAAACGAAAGCTGTCGGAATCATGACACAGTTGTCTTTCATATGAGCATAATTTTATACAGGAGAGTTTCCATCGTGATCTTGAAATACCTGTCAGTGGCGAACCACTTTCTTTTTTAATCATTTCGTAAGAAATCCGTCGCCATATGAAGCCAACGCCACACGCACAACTTCGGCTCTTCGTCTGGGGGAAACTGACGCCTCCGGATATGCTGTTTGGGTTTCGGGAACAGATGATTGTCACTTGAAACTAGACTGGGCTGAATGGGGGTCGACGGCCTCCACTCCCAGCTTCTTGGTCGTTTTATGTATGCCTGCGCGGCATGGGTTTTATGACATAATGAAGATTCAAGAATGAATTGTTTGGTGTCGTAGTGTGCCCGAACGAACAGTGCTGATCAATCGATGCTCCTCCTATAATAAACATGCTTTATTGTGGTGTAACTATTAACCGATCTGCCCAATTTAAATATTCACGGCCTAAGTTATCATTGTCGATGTAGGTACTCCGCATTTCTGCGCCATTAGTACGAGCGAGATATGCGAAGTCTCGTAAAATAATTAGTAGAAATTCTTAAGTATGGCGGCTGGCCGCCCATGCTCATTTTTTTACCGAAGATTTCGCTTCGCTCGCTCGATTGTAACTACATATACAAGTGTTTGGTTTCTTGTTTTTTAGGCACGTCTTATTAAAGATATATTTTGAAAGGTCCGATTTAAGAATTGGTTTTCAATCAACGACACCATTGGAGATAAGGGAATCGTGAGTGCAACATTTATGCCGGGGTAAAATACACAATATCAGTTCAAAGGTAAATGTTCAAATCAGGCATCCCATGATTCTGAAAAAGGGAAGAGTTACAACATTTCCCAACCCCCAGGCCACTCTGCAGCCCCTCACCCGCCACGGCGTGGGTCAGCAAAAAGACGTAACCAAATGGCATGTAGATAATGCATGCTAGCTTATGCAATGAGTTTTCTTTGAATTAGTACTAAAATGCGACAATACAGACAAGCACGATGAGCAACAATAGCATTACCATATTTACATAAGCTGACATGTCCATTGCTCACCCTATTCATTGACAGATGAAGTCCCATAATTTCATCAAACCTTTTCCATTGAACACTGGCTTATATTAGGTAGGTGACTCCTTGGACTTCCGGGCTACTTTGCGGCGCCTGTCACTGCTGCGCCAGTGTTCGCCCCGGTCGCGGCGAACCTGATCGCCGGTGCCCCTGTGACGCATTCGGTCGACCCCTCCGGTGACACGTGCGGCGTACGGCACCCCTCCTGTGACGCGTACGGCGTACGACACCCCTCCGGTGACGCGTACGGCACCCCTCTACCGGTGGTGCCGCCGGCACCGGACGTCTCTCGGTGCGACCAAACCCGTTCCGGACGCTCCTCGGCGAGGTTGGTGTCGAGCGCCGGCCTTACTTATTGCGGCCGGTCGGTGATCGGCGCCTCAGCTCCTGTCCTGGCCGGGAGTGCGGCTGGACGCAGTGCCCTCCCTCCCTCCTCCCTCCTTCCTCTCTGTCCTCTGCCTGCTGCGGCGCTGCTCTCCTCAGTGGCAGCTAGCTGCTCACCTTCCTATCGGTCTGTCCGATTGACAGACCGCGCGCACATCACTGTGTGTTCGATCTCGGCTGTCGTGTTCGACGTTTGTTGTGAGCTGTCGGATTTGTGTGCGCCAACCAAGCGGACATCATGCTGCTGATAGCTGGAACGCTGCTTCTGGTGACAGCTCAGGTAAGTACGATTGACTGATAGGTATGCTTTTTTTACTGTCGAAAAGATAACGCTCGAATGGCTTATAGCACTCTCCAAATATCCCAAACAGTTACCTGTCTGGCAAGATAAGCATATGAATATTGCTATAGACGAAACTAAGTACAATGGAGCTCTTAGAATGATGCGTCTCAAGTAAATTAACAATTAATTCCCACATTAATTATGGGAGAACTATTACTGAATGCTTACAGGATGATTAGGCAGATCTAGAAGATCGGCATTCCAATCTGTTCATTCGATGTTGTTTGTGATCTAGTTTTCACGAAACTTGTGTCACGAGACCTGAACATTATTTACCATCTTTCCATGTCACGACTTGTTCAATGCCATGTTCTGACTCCCGTTTTGTGCTTCATGCTTGAGCTTACCATCGGTTAGTCATATCTGGCAGCTCAGAACTATGCCGTTATAATCGGTGCAAATATATAGTGCATGACGTCTTTGCTTAGCTTCAAAAGAACCGTACGATGGGAAAACGGAAGTGGGTGCATGGGGCAATAACAACATTGCTGGAGGAGTGCATGTAGTTCTGATAGTTCTGACAGTTCTGACCTGTGTTCTTTAATAGCTAATTAAGGAATGGTAGTTTTTTGAATATATGTTTTAGATCAAACCGAAAATTTCCTTTTTCATTTTCGTCATAATTGCCTTATGATGTCAATTTCTACATTTTACGAGCTTTTTTGTGACTTATTGCTTAGAAAGTATATACTCGTATTTTTTTGTGTCCGTCAACTTTGCACGCTTCTTCACTTATCCTAAAGAATCTAACAATAGAACCGATGGATCGTTTATCCCCGCCCGTCCTTGCAAACATTCAGCGTTCAACCTTGCGTGCTAAAGAGAATTGTGACTGACAGCTTTGATTGGCGTGGCGTTAATAGTTAATGTGATCAACAGTGAGTTCTGAGAAGATGTTTACCGGCCGCCAAAGGATTGGATACGACCCAGAAGATCGCGTGCTCATTAAGACTCTTAATTATCAAAAGAGAGAAATCAGTTCCAGTTCAGTCAGTGTCTGACTACTGCTCCCACAGATATTATTCTGGAAGTAGTGCACACCGTACGAAATGGATTTATTTTGTGACGGAGAGATACCCGTACTTACATAACTTCAGTGCGTTATCCGGTTTCTATGCAAGTTGTCCGCTTCAGTGCTGAACTTGGAAGCATCTAGGCATTTTGGAAATCGCGTGGAAATATTAGGGCACATTCCAGCAGCGATTTCTCGCTATGGATGGACCCTGGGGTTTCCAACTTGGGTTTTAAAGTGGAGCGCACCATTAAAAGGGGCGATACTCCAGTGCACTTCTTCCCAACCGAGTCGAGGGTCTTAGACCGCTGTCGGTGACACTTGGCTGAATGAACAAGGCGCATTAATTTTTTGTCGTTCTTCGTATAGTTGGGGTGGTGGAATACATTGACCTAATCTTAAAGGGACCTTCCCACCTTCAAAAAAGTTTATGAATTGGCATGAAAGTGATGTCGCTCGGTTCAGAAAGAGCGAAAACGAATATCTACCAAATTTCACCGAAAAATATTCACCGGTTTTCAAGATATTAGACTTTTACTTTTGTTTACTTTTTTGGGATCTCCGCTGTTTCTAGCGACTTTATTTTAGAAGTGCGGCGTTTGCGGCAGATGTTGCGCGCAAATAGCATATACCACCGCGTGCTACAAAACGTTTTAGTCAAACATTTAAAAATCGTTAGATATCTGCGCTGACGTCACACATTCAGAGGGGTATTCCTAAGCATTAGCCCCTCTGAATCAAAATGCTGCAATTTTGAAATTCAATATTTCCGATTTAAGGCATTTCTCGATGTTGTGAGTGCCGAAACCGGTAATTGTGAGCCAGGGACCCCATTTTGGCTATCTCAACTCAAATCTAATGTTAAGGTGGGAGGGTCCCTTTAAGATCACTTATCTTAGGTTATAGGGTAAATTGGCTAGGTTAAATAACACAAAATGAAGCCAGAGATGAAGATTGCTCTCTGTGATTGTCAAAGCCTTCCATCAATTAATTGTTTGTGGTAACGGAAGCATGCTGAAGCACGTGAAATTAGTTTTCAGTTTGGACGATAACATGGTGGCCTGACCTTTTAACCCGCGCGGGGCTGGGGTCTCCAGCCGAACGCGCGGGGCTGGGGGGGTAAATTTTACCCCCCCCCCCTGTTATCTCCCGAACTAATGGTCCGATTTGGAAAATTCGAACGCCAATCGAAAGATCTCATCACGAACAACTAAAAATATGTACTTAATTTAAAGTTTGAGGTCAAGGTCAAGGTCAGGTCAAGGGTACAAATTGCAAGTTTCTACAGTATCGGCCTTGCACCGTAGTTGCCGAAGAATGGAGTCATGGTCTGAGACTGATTGCCCAAAACGTGTTCTTAGACTACCAAGACAATATTCGTTGCATACAATGTCATTCAAAGGTCAAGGTCAAGGTCAGGTCAGGTCAGGTCAGGTCACCAAAAACAAAATATAGAAAAGGGCATGTGCGACACATGTTTTATGGGTCATTTTACTCATAGAATTCAATAGACACAATCAATAAGTGATATGGACCACCTCTGGATGAATTTCAGGTAAAGGTCAGGTCAAGGTCAGGTCAATTGAGGTCAAATTTTGAAGTTGGTTGTTAAGTCCTAAAAAGGTGTCTAACTGATGCAGTTTTTCACGGCGAATCGAATGGTGCTATTTTGTTTCCGTACAAGTTCTAGAACTTCCAAAAATTGATTTTTCAAAATTTTGTGTGTCGTGACGTCATAAAATTTTGAATAACTCCCACATTTTTGAACCAATTCTTCTAAAAATTAGTATGTCGGTGCACATAGACCACTTCTCTGACATATATTCCGGTCTTTTTGATACACTCATAATTTTGGATTTTATAACTATTTTCCCCAAAAAAGTCAGTTTTTTAAATTGGGCCAAAATCCAAACTTTTCAAAAAACCGAGATACCCATTCGATAGACAAAGTAAAATTACGTATAACCTTTTTTGTTACGTCTTGATTCCTTTAAAAATGAAGATGTTAGCGGCGTTTGAAATTTTGCCGTTTTTGAGGCGAAAATGGCGAACATGACGTCACTAAAACGTCAATTTCTCAAAAAAAAAAATCCGACGGATTTCGCTCAAATTTTCAGGGAACGTGTCAAATTGATGTAAGAAAAGGTACTGAAAGTTTGGCGGCGCTGCGCGCCGCCGTTTTTGAGATATTGCAAAAATTCGCGAGGGGGGGGGGGTAAAATTTACACCCCCCCAGCCCCGCGTGGGTTAATATTCCTACGAGGTCCAGCTTTCCATCATATTATAAAATTACATACAATAAATGTCGAAAGAGTGGAGCTAATTAAAGTATTAACTTATTATTTTTATTTTATTTTGTCAATGTCAGCAATGGCAGTGCGTTAACCCACTGCCATAAGCACAATGCTGCCAAGTTCTTCTAGGATTGGGAAAGTACTTGCATGCCAGATAAATCATGCATGTATTCTCTGGCGAGAATGCGTGAAACGTATATTTTATCCTGTCTTCTGAGGAAAGTTTCGTGAAGTTCAAAGCCACCATCATCTAGCCGTTTACCCAAATTCCAGCAATCCTCTTCCGTGAGATTATAACGGGT